CCGCTTGGACGGGTTTAGATGGGTTTTATTTTTGGCTGGGCCTACGGGCTCGGACATACCCACATTAAAAAGGCCTTGTGCCACATTCAATTCCTGTGGGTGAATTGATAAATACCATCTATGAAAAAACAGGTGAGAAAGACTGCATAAACTTTGCTTATTCTTTATCTTATCCTTCTGTCAGATTTCAATCCATATTTGATCGACATTTGACCCCAAACTCATAACTTGATTTAGCATTACTGCCTCTTGTGTCTCCAGCACCACAATACAACCAGATAATAAATGTTTTGTTGTTTTAACAGCTAAAGCCCCCATAGAACAACATTAAATAAACATCAATCTGCCATCAAGCTGTCAAACATGTCAACAGCTTAAATAAGCTGCTACTGCTATGTTAAAAAATTCACTTCTGCAATATTTTAATAAAATAATAAATATAATTTAATAAAGTTAATAATATTTGTTTCCAATCAGATTAATTATACTTTAAATCAACTAATATTCCTCAAATAAAGGTTCAGAAAAGTATATTTTATTTTTGGAACAATTTTTTTAATGAAGAGACTTATATTGTGATGAAAGATAACAAAAAAAAACTATTTTGGCCAAAAAAAAAAAAAAATAACTCCTTCAAGTCAATTTGAAATATAGCAAAGCATTTTGCCTATTGGAAATATTAAGTTTAATCTATCAGCTTGAAATTAAAACTAAAATAAAAGCTTCAAGAAAGATTTTTCATTTTTAAAAATTCATTTTATCGCATTTTCTGTTGTGGTACCTACTTATATGTCAATATGAAATTGGAAAATGTTGGTGCTGTACAAAACTCTCATGGTAAAATCCAATCCTCCATACAATCATTAATGACAAAAGAGAATTGAACTCCTTAACAAGTAATTAATATTATTATTGCTTTTAATTCCGTGTCCCTTCAGAATGTAATTGATCAGGACTCACCATGAATTCCTTTTCTTCAACTGCAAATTGACATGACTTCTTGGGAAAGATAGTGGAGTAGTTTCCTTTGCTTGTACCACAGTTTGGATTTCAGAGTTTTTCTTTCTCTTAGACTAGTTGTCACTCAAGGCTAGAGACCCCAGCTGGGTTACTATTTAACCAATAGCTAGTTAGGGGGAGGATGTATTGTTGGTTAGGTGCTAGGAATTGGAAATCAGAGAGCTAAGTTCAAATGCCAGTCAAGTTCATTACATTCACTTATTCACTAATATCCTTGGGAAAGGTATGAATTCATCTCACCATGCCAGCTATATGTTAAATAGTAGGACTTGTATCTTTTTTTTTCTCAAAACATTATGAATGCAATATTCATCCAAAAAAACAAAGAATTATTCACACAATCCAAAATATGTTTTGGCTTTAAGTAACGTACAAAGAGTTGATAAGCTAAAAGAAAAAAAACAATTGATCAATCAATATGCAGGGGGAGATGTGTGGGTTCATGCCTTTTCCAAAGGCATTACTTTAAAAGTGCCCACAACAGATGACCATGGAATTTGAAACATTTTTTGTGTCAGTAAGCATAACACCACCCATACAGTCTTTCCCAGTGTTTACTTTTATATTATTGTCAATACTTTGAATATAGGAGCTGACTCACCTGATTTTTTTTTACTAAAAATATTTTTTGTCTGTTGTTTTTGGGGTTAAAATAATTTTTAATCTTACTAATTTAAAGACCCCCCTCCTGACCACCTAGGAAAAAAGTTTATTCACCCTAAAGTATTCTATTGATAATTATAAATTTGGATATAAATGAGATTCAGGAAAAAAAAAGTGACTCAGATATCACATTCTAATGATTAACCTGGTAAATTTAAAGAGCTTTTGACAAAATATTGAAAACTATTTTACAATACGCTCAGAACAATATTCTAGAGAATTCTAGAACAGCTTAAATTAAATCTAGAGTATTCCAGAATATTCCAGAAAGCCTCACACAGTATAAAAACAGCTTGAAATAGCCACTCAAGTCACTAACCAGATGAAAGGTTACTAACATGCATCAGAACCACTTAAGGCATCTATTATTGCCCTCTCAAAAGCAGGCAGAAATTGCTATAACCTCACAATCAACTGTCTCTCGAGTGCTTAGGGCAAATAATGATGCCACTCCTGCTCCAAAGAAGGAAACAAGGGGACAAAAGAAAAAGATTGATGATAGAACTGGCAGGGTAATCAAGAGAGAAGTTGCGAAGAATAGGACTATAACTAGCCAAGAAATTGTAGCCAGTCTAAGCGAAGAGCAATGTGTTAGTCTTGCCTCTTCAACAGTCCATCAGGACAAGGTTACAAATCTTATTAGAACAAGGCTACAAATCTTGTACACGAAGGTTTAAGCTACTAATAATCAAAGCCAAGAGACTTGAATGAGCTCACTATTACAAAAATTTCACCGTAGAAGACTGGAAGAATGTTCTCTTCTCCGATGAAACGAAAGTTGAGCTAAATTCAAAGGATAAGGTGAGTCACTTTTATCGAACAGCACTGTAGATGCTTTGTAAATAAGAATTAAATTTCCAATTTTATTTCTTTTATTCTTATTGGTGGAGGATATGCCATTTTGATTCAATTTCTGTTTGTTTTAATATTTTCCATTTTCATTTTAATCATTTCACCCCAAAATGGCGATAAAGCTACAAAGATGCCAGGGATTTCTGTGAATGAAAGAGAATGAGAAAATTTTAGTGAGAAGAGCTGACTAAAAAAACAGGATTCAGGATGACAGAAAGTGGCATTTATGTTGCATTTAAATTTTTGAAGATTGTAGATGATGGGGAAGCAAGAAAACAAATGTTCTACAGGCGGGATGTGCGAGAAAAGAAATTATTAGAATAGAACTTATAGTTACAGCTAGCTAATTCAACGGTAAAACAATGAGACCCAGTCACTAGTCTAGTAGCATGCTTAAAAGAATTGCTATGAAAATATTTACAGAAAAGAGACAGGAAAGATACTACATGGCAGTGGGAAAGTGGTAGAAGTCAAGATATCAAATTGATAACATTGCAGACCTTTCTTTGCAATTCATTCAATATATTCACTTCACTTCACGTGTTCACGTGAGTGGAAAACATGAAAGCAAAAAGATGCAACGAGTTTCTCTTCTGGAGGTTAGCATCAGCCTTGCTGATTTGAAAGGCAAAAAAAGTTTATCTTATGATTAAATACATTTCATAAATGTTAATATACATGTAATAAAGTTTCCATCATGATTAGAAGGGCTTATGGCTACATCAATGTTGAAACACTGGTTTTCATATGATCACCAAAGTTAAGCAATGTCAAGCCAGGTCAGTAACTAGATGGGTCATCGCTTATCAGGTGCTGTAAGCTTGGATGTACGGATTGTGTAATGATAACAGCTCAGAATAAGAAATCAGAGAGCTGAGATTGAATCCCAGCTGTGTTTGTTATATTCACTTACATGCAGATACTATTGGAAAAGGTATGAACTCACCTCTTCTCCAATACTATGGGTTAAATAGTAAGACTTGTATATGAGAATGATTATTTCATTCTTGATGGAAACTGGGGAAATATCATTCTCATGTATTATCATGCTAACCAAGAAATTACATGTGCATCAGTTAAAACCTATACTATTGATAGATTATTATATACTATGTAACAATGTAGTATGTAGCAATTTTAACAATGCTAAATATATCAGAAAATATGGTGGATACTTAACCTTTAACCTGTTTTGCTGATTAAACTGTGTCCTCAGAAAAATCGATCTTATTTCAACCTAATCTACATGTTTTTAGTGACTGATTGATTCTACAGCTTATCAGCCCTTTGCGAATTATTTAAAGCCAGATATTATTTTCAGATTGTAAGAATGTAATGGTTTAGTGATGCAAGTCTTACTGATTAACCCATAGCTGAAGGGAGAAGAGGTGAATTCATACCTAATCAGAATTTGATAAACAAACAAAGTATAATGTGGATATAAAGTGGAGGATCAATTCTATATTACAATAAATATGTAAACTGGTCCCTCACCTTGTGGCCATAGCAGTTTCTATATTTATATTCCAGAGAATGTAACTAAATCTAAAAGACATACCTGTGTAGCCAATCAGTATTTCATTGATTGATTGATTTATTCGTTTTCTACAGTTTATCAACTATTTAGGTTATTTAAAGTCAGAAAATCTTTTTAGATTGCAAGAAATTTTTTTATTTTAGATAACAGTTGTCTAGTGGTACAAGTCTTGCTAAATAACCCATACCTGAAATCATACCTTTCCTAAAAGTATTTGCATACAAATGAATATAACAAACCTAATGGATATTGGAACTCAGCTCTCTGATTATCAATTCTGAGCTATTATTGATTAAACCACCTGCACATCCAAGCCTACAGCACCTGGTATTCCCAAGTAGTCACCCATCTAAGTACTGATCAAGCTTGATGTTACTTAACTTTAGTAATCGTACAAGAACCAATGTTTCTATGTGATGTGGCAGTAAGCCTAATCTACATGTGTAAGAGAGAATATGATTCACATTAGTCATATGAACACTGGATTATTCTTTTTAATATTAATTGTATTGTTTTCAAAATTAGATTTTATTAATTTCAATTTTAATTTTTTCAACTTTTAATTTTCAACTTTTCAATTTTTATTTATGTGTTTATTTTATGATTTTGTCATATCCCACATTATTTCAACATCAATTTAGTAGGATCAAGTGATAAGCCAAAGAATATTAATTACAGGTGATAAACCAAAGGCTAGTAATAACAGTTAATAACCGAAAGAAGCCCAGACATATATTAACCACAGAGAATTCATAAATCATGACATTTTTAATGAACCTTGATCTGAGTAAACTAAGCAGTTTCCAGATGAAAATTTTGATCATGAAAGTTTTGGTGGCATACCTGCACATAGTATGTTGTTTAATTTGAACTCTTTTTTTTATGTTCATATATTCTTTTCATCAATTTTGGGATGTTTCATATAGCTTACAGCCATATCTCATTGAAACACTGGTTCCTGTATGATCACCGAAGTTAAGCAACATCAAACCTGGTCAGTACCTAGACAAGTGACTGCATGGGAATACCAGGTGCTGTAAGCATAAATGTGTGAGTAATGCAATGGATAATGGCTTGGAATTGTTAATTGGAGAATTCCAATTATTGTTGGGTTTGTTATATTCACATGTGAAAATACCCTTGGGAAAGGTATGAATTGAGCTGTTTTCCCTCTAGTTAATTAGTAAGACTTGTATCACTAAAACCATTATTATCTCCCCACCAAAAAGATAAAATTGCATACAAAATATTTAGATTTTGGTATTAAATTACCCATAGAGGTTGATATGTTGCTAAGCAAAAACAATGAAACCAATATTTCATATGACTAACATAAATCTCATTCTTCCTCAGCAATGTAGATTTGGTTGAAATAAAATCTCTTTTTCTGATGACGCTCTTTGATCTGCGGATCATGTCAAAATAAATTTTTTTCAAATTGTCTTGTTTATTTATGATTCTGTTGGATCTTCATCCAAATTTAAATCAATTATAACAATGTCTATTATGTAACAAAGCAGTATGTAACAATACCGGAATAAACAATGAATTTCACACATATACAAATATCACATCGAATACACCAGATCTCATCTGATCAATAGAGTTAAGCAATGTTGAAATTGGTCAGTACTTCAATGGGTTACAACTTGGGAATACCATGTACAATAAATGTATTGACGTCAAGAGGGACAGAGGAACACAATGTATAACCTACTTAAGGAGCTTGAGTAAATGGATAGTGGAAAAAAGTTTGGGAGAGATAAGAAAAAGACAAAATTTATTAAGACCTACAAAGGAGAGGAAATTGTGGAGAGCTATGGTAGTTAATGTCCTGAAGGGTCATGGAACATAGATGAAGATGATTTCTATAAAACACAGCTGAGTTTTACAATATCTTATAATGATTATATTTAGCAATGAGGTGACAGCCATCATATCTATACTTACATCTATATCTATTACTACACGCACATATATATACCATGTATTTTTGCATATAAGTCAACCTTTAGATAAGACTAGGTAAAAAAAATTAGCAAACTTTTATGAATTTATCCTATAGTAGTATAAGATGACTGTTTGTTTATTATATAAAGTTGATGTTATTGGAAATGTTGTTACTTACTGTATCCTTAGAAATTCAAAATAAATGAAATAACAAAACAAATTCTATATTATGTATTTCGGACATATGTCTCCTAAAAGGGAAATTATTGTTTTATTTATGTATTATCACATGGTCTCTTACAAATTCTGATTATTCTTCTTTCTCTTCTTTTCCTATATCTAAACAGTTTCAAACAGCCTGGTGTATTAATAGCCATTTACTTATACTTCATCGACAATTACAAAATACTGCTAATAACAGTATGATAATGTATGATAATAGTACATTCCACTTTCAACATTTTTTTATTTGCAATCATATTTCGTTGTTTACATTTTCTCAGCTGAGTTTGTCTGGATACAAGTTGATTTCATTGATATGGAATTATTCTTTGAATAGGCAATTCATTATGAAGCTATGCCAGTAAATATAGAAATGGTTTTATTTGTTTTATTATCAGTTTATTTGATAATGTGAATCTTTTCATGTACGTTATCGGAGGGGTGGCAAGGTTAGTCTACTGACAAGCATCACTGAGAATTTAAGGTTTCTTTTTTAGAATTGTAGTATAATGTGACACTGAAGCCATGAGGTGGTTAAATGTTAATTCTAAGCAGAAAATGGTTAAGCCAAAAATGGAATGTAATCTGGTAGATAGATTGAGAGAGAGACTGAAAGAGAGAGTGGAGACATTTTCCTTGGTGAAAATGGGATCATCTGGATTTCTTCTCTCCTAAAGTTTATTTTTTTTTATTTATTGAAAGTCTGGCATGGAAATAAAAATAGATTTGGAAAACAATTTTATCTCTTCCTTGAGAATTTAGGCAAACAAATATATTTTCGTTGAAGTTATGAAAACATATTATGTAATTGCTGAGAGGGTGATCTGGTTTCTGCTTTTGCTGAATATAAGTAAAAAATGGAGAGATAATTTTATCTCTACCTTGAGGAGGCAGAATTAAAATTAATGATTGGAGTGAGCTACGCCCTTTCGTCCACACAATTTAAAAATTAGATTTGACACAAAGACAGTTGTGCCAGACCTGTGCTGAGAAGGAAGGAGGAAGAGGGAGGATTTAGTGCTGCCTGTGTAGAGTGGTGGTGCAAGATGTGAAGTGAAGAATGTTGGAGTTAGGGGAGGAGCAATTCCTGTAACTACTACTGAAAAGGTGGAAAATTCTCCAAATTTGGAAAGTTGAATAAGAAAGCAGAAATAGAAAACAAAAAAACTCTTATTAGAATTCATGTAGAAATTGAATACTCACTGAATCCCAAGAACTTTTTGGCCCCACACCAGTTTTGGGTCAAAGTGCATATAAGCAGATAGCTTTGAGAGCTTGAAGACTTGGGCTGAGAACCCCTGCATTGAGTGCCTCTGGAATCCACATCAGCTGCCACCAGATTTCCTGATTCTGAAGAACTTTGAACACAAATTATTATGTGAGGCACAGTATCACTATAGAAATTGGTGCAGAAAGGGTTAATTTTTGTTGTACTAAGAGTTATATAAACCAACTGAAGCTTAACTCAATGAATCTGAAAATATTTTTAGCACCCACCACAGCTTGAAGCATGTCTGCAATTACAACAACATTTAATCTTCCACTGTTCTGAGATCAAGAACACAACATGAGCAGGGTTGGTGTGGATCAAAGTGGTTAAAATGTTGTCCTAAGTCCCTGAGGACCAGACCACTAAACATAGTTAGACCACCAGCTGTAGGCAGTGATAAAAGTTGTTATAATAATATGACCCATCATTTTCTAAGGGTGATTTTTGGGATTTAAAGGTTGTCTTATATGCAGAAATATATGGCATACATATACATATATATTTATATATATATATATATATATATATATATATATATATATATATGCTACAATATTCATGGGAAAATTTGAGGAGACCATATCTATCCTCTCATCAGTAGCGACTGCCTATTCTATGCAAGATATATCGATGATATATTCTTTGTATACAAGGGCAGCAGTGACGACAAACTTATCCAATTCCTCATGACCCGAAACACAGCTCATGACTCAATTAAGTTTGACTATGAAAAATCCACAAGATCAGTAACATTTTTAGACACCTACATTTGCATTAATTTATATGCTAGTTATAATAGGTTGACTTCTTTTTTTTCTTTTGTGTAGGAACAAAAACAAAAGGAAAACTTTAATCCTATATATATATATATATATATATGACCAAACAGAGATGAATAGGGTAAAGTAATAAAATCTGTTGGATTAATAAATAAAAACTTTATCACTTCTTTAGAAATTGTTTTGTTGATGTTAGGATACAAAACTTAGCAGATATGGATATCTCAGGAATCAGAAAAGATTTGCATTTATAAGGCACTATTCTTATATATAGCATGTGCAAAAGTAGGTATACAGTAACAACATACACACAAAATGTATTATATTTATTATACAAACATAATAATAATACCTACTGTGTTGTAGAGTTGTGTACTTCCTGCTCTTCCCTACTACTGTGACAATGGATTACTCCTACTTATAAATACGGAAAGTAGCCACATTAGTAGTTGTTTTAATAAACCTCTTATTTGTTTTACCTACTGAGTCTTCTGTTCCTTTGATAATCTCCCTGACTACGACCTTCTTAATTCTTGGCTATTTTGAACAAAGAAAATAGTGCTACATACAGTATACCTACTTTTGCAGCCCCCTGTATATGTCTATATATACAGGATTTTGTTTGATTCTACTCTCATAATATGAATTCAAACTTCCATTCACCTTATACCATTTGGCATTTTATCTTTTTTTTAACAACTCAATTTACATTGGAACATGTTGGGGGAAAACAGTGATGCTGAAAAAGTCTTTCAAATTAAATGCATGTGCTTTAGTCATACCCAGACTATGGCTTTTTATTTTAGCATACCAAAAAAATGTACTTTATTTTATTATTTTGAATTTCTCATGCTGCAAAGAAAGAAATTTGATAGTTTGTAAGTTATATATTGCATATGCTGGTAAATCCTATAAATATTTGAGAATGAAGCTCGTTAGCTTCTGCCTTATTATTATATTACTAACTTAACTCCATTTTATTACTGTTGCTTTTTTCATGAATCATTTTCGCAATTATCTTATTTACTAGTTTTACTGCTGTTATTGTTGCTTTTTAGATTTTCCTTTTTTACTAGTGTTTACACAATAAAAGGTCAAAGAGCCACTCAAGGTAGAGGGTTGCTGAATAATGTTGTATGAACATAAGAGGAAGAGGTAAGACGTGTACTAATGAAATTTTTTTTAATCATATCACCCCATGCAAGACAGTACATTAACACACAAGGTGTTATTGAATGTGAAAGAATAAGAAAAAAAGAGAAACATTATTAAGGAGTGAGAACAATTGAAGTGCAATCAAGAGGACTGTAGATAATGATTAACATTGCATTTGAATTTTTGAAGATTAAAATTGACTAGAAAGCATGAATCCAGAAGAGATTTCCGCAGGTGAGAAAAGAAATTGTTAGCATATAACTTATGGTTACATCTAGCCAATTCTATTGTAAATTGATGAGCTCTTGATGCCAGTCTAGTACTGTACTTAAATTCAAAGAGTCTAGGTACCATAGTAAAGAGCTTATCATTTACCATGATTATCAATTACCATTAAAGTATTTATAGAAAAGACATAGAGAAGCTACATTACGGTGGTGAGAAAGTCAGGCTTAAAGAAGTCAACATTGTAGTGACTAGGAAAACATCCTTTCTGAGTTTGTTCCATAAAGTAGTGGTTCATGGGAAGAAGCTCTGAGTGAAACTTCTTTATTACTAATGGAATATGAAGGGAATTAGGGCAATTCAACCCTGTGTATGCATCCAGTATATGTGATGTGGCTGAAAAATCAGTATCACCTTATACAAGGCCCAAGAGCCACACA